AGACCCACCTGGGCACTTGGCAAGACCTCATCTCTACAATAAATCAAAAAATTAGCCGGGCATGGTAGCGCATGCCTGTAGTTCCAGCTACTTGGAAGGCTGAGGTGGAAGGATCGCCAGAGGCGGAAGGATCACCGGAGGCCAGCAGGTCGAGACTGCAGTGACCAGGAGCAGCCACTGCACTCCAGTCTGGGCAACAGAGTGAGACTCCAACCCAAAAAAAAAAAAAAGAATGAGACTTGAACTCAAACAATAAAAATTAAAAATAAAAAGCAGATAAGAGGTCTTCTGATTTTCAGGTCGTATTGTGTTCCTTCTATCACACTTATGGAAAAACAATTTAATGATAAGATATCCTTTTGAGAAACTGAAAACTAAGGAAAATCAACAACAAAATAATTTAAAAGACAGGCCCAACCTGAAAAGCACCCCACCCTTTTCAGAGTTTCATGCAGTTTCCCTGACATCAAGCAGTCAAAAATATTAATAGAAATGCAATATATCCCGCGCCTTGGGAGGCTGAGGTGAGTGGATTGCCTGAGCCCGCGGGTTCGAGACCCGCCTGGGCAACTTGGTAAGACCTCATCTCTACAATAAATCAAAAAATTAGCCAGGTGTGGCAGCACGCGCCTGTAGTTCCAGCTACTTGGAAAGCTGAGGTGGAAGGATCGCTGGAGCCCAGCAGGTAGAGGCTGCGGTGGCCGGGAGTGGCCACTGCACTCCAGTCTGGGTGACAGAGTGAGACTCCAACTCAAAAAAAAAAAAAAGAATGCAATATAATGTGTAACTCAGTCTATAATAAGAGATTTCTTAAATGTTGGTTCAGCATTCCACTATTAAGATGTTCTGTATTTTGTGTAATGAATTCCTGATTGCTGGATATCTAAGCTCTTTCTCTTTTTCATTATTGACTTAATGAATTGCAAATTGTTAATGAATCAACTAGAAAGATTAACATTCATCCAATTTAAAAACTATCAAAAACAAAAAAAGTAACCCTATCTGTAAGGTCAGAAAATGATTTTTAAAAAGAGTAAAAAGCTACAACAGCAATAACTAAGCCACAAATCAAAGAACTACCTTTTTAGAATAAAACAAATTCTACATTGTAACTCCTCTATAAGCCAAACGTTTCTTCCTCTCCATCCCTCTTTATGCAGCTATTAAATATTACTTTGACTAAGTGACCATGCCAAACTCATAATGAAGAGTTACCTGCATTTAAAATACACAGTCCCTTCGTGGCTGCCATCATGCTTTCCTCTCTCGGCATTGTCCCATTCTACTCCTAACCAGGGTCCTAGCGGAACAAGAAAAACCAAATGAGTAACAAATGATGACAGAGGCAATGCTCCATTTTTCAGCAAGCAAACACAGTGTGCAATGAAAACATATCAGACACCACTGGAGGAGGAGATGTCTTTGGGAACGGACAAATTAAACTTTAAACTTAGGACTTCAATCAGCAAATGCAACAGCATGTTTGAATCTATAAGGCCAACAGGGCCAGGTGCCGGTGTCTCACACCTGTAATCCCAGCAAGTTGGAAGGCTAAGGCAAGAGAACTGTTTCAGCCCAGGACTTTGAGATCAGCTTGGGAAGCATAGCAAGACACTGTCTCTAGCCAAAAAAAAAAAAATCAGTTGGGCATGGTAGTATTCACCTGTAGTCCCAGCTACTCAGGAGGCTGAGGCACAAGGATCACCTAAGCCCAGGAGGTCAAGGCCGCGGTGAGCCATGATGCCACTGCACTTCAGTCTGAGAGACAGAATAAGACTTCAACTCAAAACACAAAAAATAAAACTGATAAACCACAACTGCAGAAAACAACAGCTAAACTATACCGAGTACTGAGCAAGCTAAACAAAGGTGAACCTTGAGGACACTATGCCAGGTGAAATAAGTCACCACAAAAGGAGAAATACGATACGACTCTACTTGCATGAGGGTCAGTAGACTAGTCCCTACTGAACTGTACACTTAAAAACAGTTAACATGGTAAATTTAATGTCATACATATTTTACCAAAATTTATAGTTTTAAATTAAAAATAAGTTAAAAGAACTCCAGGCTCATACCACCATATCCATCTAATGTTTTGATTATTGTAGAGACGATGGTCTCAAATCCCTGGGCTCAGGCAATCCTCTTTCCTCTGCCTCCCAAAGGGCTGAGATTATAGGCATGAGCCACCATGCCAGGCCACAGTAAAAATTTCAAAACACCTGAGCCCATGGGTTTGAGACCCGCTTGGGCAGGCGAGACCTCATCTCTACAATAAATCAAAAAATTAGATGGGCGTGGTAGCGCGCACCTGTAGTTCCGGCTACTTGGAAGGCTGAGGCAGAAGGATCACCAGAGCCCAGCAGGTCAAGGCTGCGGTGACCAGGAGCAGCCACTGCACTCTGGTCTGGGCGACAGAGTGAGACTCCAACTCAAAAAAAAAAAAAAAAAATCAAAACAAAAAAGAAGGCAAAATAAAGACAGCTGTAGCAAAGAAAACCAATAAAGTGGTCTTTAAAGAGAAAGTAAATTATCCCAGAAAACTGAGGAAACAAGCAGGATGGGGGAAAAAAGGTAAATATACGGGCAAGTCCAAATTAATAAGGACAACATAAACTTACAATATCAGTTCCTTGGGTTTAAAATACATGTAGATTAAAATATCTAACATATGCGTTAGGAAGGGGGTAAATGAAATGCTCAAGTGTTCTAAGGTCTTTTCATGGGCCTTGGAAGAGGTATAAGTAACAATTTTTACTAGAGCTCAATTTTTACTGACCTCACTACCTGACATGAAATACCCTCCAAAAAAGAGTTAATTGCTCTCTCTCTAGAGTGTCTGAGAACCATGTAGACATGGCTAGGAGAGAGGCCTCGGTGATGCATGTGATAAACTAGTGGCTCTAGATAGAGGGTGAAAGCAGACAATAGACCAATAAAATTACAAAATTAATAGAAGAAAAATAATGAAAAATAATCCAATAAAGGGGGGAAAAGAACAGAACATCAGCAAGACAAATAGAAATCAAATAATGAGAGATATAAACCCAAATTATCAATCATTAAGTGAAAAATAAATGGTCTAAATGTTCTAATTAAAAGAAAGCCAGGTCAGGTGTGGTAGTTTACACCTGTAATCCTGGCACTTTGGGAGGCCAAGGTAGAAGGATTATTTGAGGCCAGGGGCTCGAAACCAGCCTGGGCAACAAAGCAAGACTTCATCTCTAAAAAAAACAAAAACAAAATTAGCCAACCAAGGTGGTACGAGCCTGTAGTTCTAGCTACTTGGGAGGCTAAAGTGAAAAGATCACTTGAGAAGTTTGAGGCTGCAGTGAACCATGATCTCACCACTGTACCCTAGAGCCTGGGTGAAAGAGCAAGACTATCTCAAAAAAAAGAAAGAACGTCGACAAAAAAATAACATTGGGATTTTGATTGGGACGTCACTGAATCTATAGATTACTTTGGTACCATTGACATTTCAGCAATATTAAGTCTTACAATTCATGAGCATGGGATGTCTTTCCATTTATTCATGTCTCCTTTAATTTTTTCCAGCTATGTTTTATACTATTCATTTTCCTTGGTTAATTCCTCAGTATTTTATTCTTTTTGATGCGGTACACAGATACAATGGAATATTATACACAATGGACTATGCATACAAAGAAAAGAAACTGACACATGCCACACTATGGATGAACTGTGAGGACAATATGCTAAGGAAATAAAGTAGTCACAAAAGGACAAAGGAAGTCAGGCATGGTGGCTCACGCCTGTAATCCTAGTACTTTGGGAGGCCGAAGCAGGAGTAACGCTTGAGGTCAGGAGTTCATGGCCAGCCTGGGCAAGACAGTGAGGCCTCATCTGTGCAAAAAATCTAAAAATTAGCCAATCATGGTGGCGTACACCTGCAGACCCAGTTACTCAGGAGTCTGAGGTGGAAAGACCACCTAGCCCAGGAAGACAAGTCTGTGGTGAGCCATGATCATGCTGCTACACTCCAGCCTGGGGGACAGAGTGAGATTCCAACTCAAAAAATAAAAAATAAAATAAATATTTTTTTTAAAAAGAGGAAAGAAAGAAAATATTCACCTGTCTCAACATGTTGGGGTGAACAAGCAATCAAAACTACAGAAAATATAAGGAAGTAAATAGGTAAATAATAAAGAGCAGAAGTTAATAAGATAGAAGATAAGACAGTCTTTGCCCTAAAACACTTGTTTTCTTTTCTTTTTTTTTGAGTTGGAGTCTCACTGCTGGAGTGCCATGGCACACTCACAGCCACCCCAGCATCAACCTGCCGGGCTCTGGCGATCGATCCTTCCACCTCAGCCTTCCAAGTAGCCGGAACTATAGGCACAAGCTACCACGCCTGGCTAATTTTTTATTTTTTATTGTAGAGATGAGATTTCGTCAAGTTGCCCGAACTGGTCTCAAACCCGTGGACTCAGGCAATCCACTCACCTCGGCCTCCAGAAGTGCTGGGATTATGAGCTAAGCCATCCAGCCCAGCCAACACTTCAGATTTCTAACAGGGATAAGTGTGTAAACAAGTGGTCATTATACAAAGGATAGGTCTTGTAACAAAGGGAAGTGCAAGTGCTATGGAAGCAGATGACAGGACAGCTAATACTGTCAGACGGTGGCGCACAGGAAAGACATAACAGAAGCAGGCATGTTTTAGGTAAACCCTGAAAGGAAAATAGTTGAGACAAAGATATAGTGAGAGTTCATGACCTGTTTGGAGAAGTTCTAAAAATCTAGTACAGCTAGAGTTAAGCAATGCCCAGAGGTTGGGGGAGGGGTACGTGGCAGGAGAAGAGATTAAAGGTAATAAAAGAGGCTGAGCCCTGATGTAAAAGAGGCTGAGTCGCCAATATAAAATTCTCATACAATACTCTAAAGAGTTTAAACTTTATCCTGCTACTCACGAGAGCCCTATTCAATAGGCACGGACACATATGAACTCAATTTTAAAGATAATAAACTGAAACTCAGGCAAAATATGTGACTTGCCAAAATAACATCATAAATAAGGACTAGAACTCTGGACTAGCACACACACATTTCTCTTGTGTTCTAATCCACTATTTGTCAAATACAAGCATTTGCATAAGAAATAAGTACATTACAGGACAGTCTGGCAGTAACCATTGCCACATTGAAGAGAAATGGCGTTTTAATTGTGATAACAGATCCGTATCTGGGAATGAACAGTAAAAGAAGAACTGTTAGCTACTAGATTATAAGAAAGTTGTGAAGTACCAGATTTGAAAAAACCTGTTTTTTATCAAACAGAATGGAACGAAAGCCTAAACCCAGCTGGGCTAACCCAGTCCCCTGAATTAACACAATTGCATTGAGGCAACTGCCCAGCAATGGCAAATTCAAGAGAGAAAAAGTAAACAATTTGGACTAGGACAAGCTGTGACTCCTTTAGAACAAAGGAGGGACAGCCCCCCTATTACCAAATACCATTTTTGCCCGAGGCCTTTGCAGCATGCAATGTTGCATGTTGCAATATGCCCAGCGTGGTACCTTATCATTTTGATAGCAACTTAATTGTCTTTTTACCAACTTATTACTTGAAATGATCATAGAGCCTGTCTGTTTGCTGTATCCAGGCTGTGATATATTTTCCTAGTAGTTTGGTTTTTTAAAAAAATAAAGGTAAATCTTCCCCCCAATATTGTGTTTTCTTTCCTTATATCTAGATAGCAAATATATAACTTTCTCAGTATGCTTCTTGAAATGTGTGAAATAAGATGTCCAGAAGAGTGGAAATTCGTTATTATGGTTCATATGCAGAGCTGGTTCATTGTAAATGGGAAAAACTTTGAGGGAAGGCTAGCGTTTTTATAACTTGAAGTTCATCAGTGAGGAAAAGAAACTGTCTAAGAGGTTAAAAAGATAAATTCCGCGAGACCTCATCTCTACAAAAAATCAAAAAATCAGCCAGGTGTGGTAGCGCATGCCTGT